GCCAAAGATTGACGCTACTTGCAACATGTCGTCGGAAAGCCGATTTCAAGAAGTTTTTCTAATTCTTTTGAAATTTGCAAAAAGCTCTGGCTATATTTACTCTTCATATACTCTTCATTATGCACCTCGCGTTCCAGACTAGAGATGGGTAACCTTTTATCAATATTTTGTCTGGCAGTAAATACTTGCTAGAAATTTGCTCCCCTGGGCCATTTGAGAACAACTTCACATCCTTTGTGCGAGCGCTCAGCGGCTCCGTTGAAATCGTCTGAGCAACTCGGATAACCGAATTCGCTGAAAATTGACCATCAGAAAAAATTCAACTGCAAGATTAGCACATACGGTTCCCACCGGGAAGCCGGTGTCCATTTCGCGAAACAGCGAATCGTTAGTGAATCGTGGGATACGAGTATTGCGCGAGCCGGTTCGAACGATGTACCAGCGAATCGACACTTTTTGAAAGTATGAGACTAACGTTTGAACGTTGCTCTTGCAATTTCTCGAACTCACGAGGGCATGGGAGAGTTGGGGGGCACTAGGATTTAAGAAAGTGTCAACGTGCAGACGAGAGGGAGTTCTGCCACTTTCTAATAGTTTCGAGTCGCTGGCACATCGTGCAGTCTGCTGGTACATCGTCCGATCAGCTGGTGCAACGCTCGTAGTCCCGCGCTTCGCTAGCAATGCTGGCTCGTAGTCTGAGTCCTGTTCGAAAGCGCCTCGCGTTGCACCACAGGCAGGAGGAGGCACATCTAGTATTTGACTCTGGCGCCTATGGCATGGGCGGCAACACTTTCACGTCAAATGGGTTGAATACTCGCTTCCTACGTGTTCGGTCACCCAGCATGCAATCTTCCGCTAAAAACCTACGGAGGGAAAATTTCCAGGAAAGATGGCAGGCAATCTTTGAAGTTTGGAGCAGTCAAAGACAAACAGTGCCAAAATATTTTATCTACCCGATTTTTTTTCCCATATCTTCCAAATGGACAATGCGTGGCGCTAGCGCAAGATGCGGGGGCATTGTTGTGACAGCACATTCAAACTACGTAAAACATCTACTTTTGTTAAAAAAAAGAAGACTAAGTTCTAGGGGGAGAGAGAATCTAGGGTGCGTGAACGATTTTCATTTTCTTCAAAGTTTCTGCACACTCCTAGGCTTGGTCCTAGAGGATGCCCCCGTATCTTGCTATAGCACCCTATGCTTTTTTCAAAGAATACTACAGCTAAATGAGAATCACAAACACTACCCCGAATCTTCGAACTGTTCTCTTGGTCTAACTTTTTAAACGTGAGCATTCAACTTCCTGACGCCACAGTGACACGGGTTCCATTTATATACAGGGGGGGCCAAAAAAAAGAGTCACTTTGCCTATGGCGCATATCATCAAACTTTTCGTCGCAAAGGATGCCGCTGTTATTGGGAGTTATACGGCGAATTATTCCTTAGATGTCCCCCCATAAGCAGAATCAGGCCCACCTTCGCTGCGTTCACCGTCTCCAGAATATGACGTCATCTGTCATCACCGTCGAGCTCAAGGAGGCCTACATAATCGCTCCATTCTGAAGCTGCTACATAATTTCTTCAATCGGATAACTGGTGAATGACTTCTTAGGGACACTAGCTCTGACTATGCAAAATGGCTTTTGACCATCCTACTTACTATAAAGCGCTTCGTCTGTCGTCTGTCGTCTGTCGTCTGTCGTCTGTCGTTCTGTATGTCTGTCACGAAATTCCCTAGCTCCTCGGGATCCGCCTGGAGGGACCGGGTCAAGTGTGGGATGGGTGGGCAAGGTCTCACGTAATACAAAACACACATCAGCTAAGCGGAGCCCCGCCCACAGAGGGCGTGGCGTGCGTCGAAATGAATTGTACCGAAGACCAAGATTTCGATTTCAGTGACAAAACGACCTCGAAACTGGGCCAAAAAGTGGGTTAAGGTGTGCATTGGTAAGTCACATCGAATTAGGGAGACCCACCCCCGGTGGGCGGGGCGTTCTCTAAAAAAGCAGTGCTTTATGAAAAATTTCATAACTCGGTTGGGAGAAAGCCTACAGAGCAGAAAACAATTTGGTGTAAGGGAGCAATGTCTAAGGTGTTTCCTGCATACATGACGTGGGCGGAGGCCCGCCCAGAATGGGCGGGGCGCGCTCTGAAGTGTACAGCATTTTCTACAAGCCCTCATAATTCGGGTCGGGGAAGTCTTAAAGAGCCGGAAAAAGGTGGATAGAGGTGTATGGAGGAGTGGAGGCCAGCTGTCAATGGTGGGCGGGGCTTGACCAAAGTGGGCGGAGTTTGCGACGAAAATTCATAACTCGGCTCCAAGAAGTCCCGGAGGCCGGGAAAAGGTGGATGGAGGTGGGTGGAGGAGTGGAGGCCAGCTGTCATTGGTGGGCGGGGCTTGACCAAAGTGGGCGGAGTTTGCGACGAAAATATAAAACTCGGCTCCAACAAGTCCCGGAGGCCGGGAAAGGAAAGGAGGTCAACTGCTATTAGTGGGCGGAGCACGCACATAAGTGGGCGGAGTTTGCCAAAAGTGTCGTAATTTGGTTCCAAGAGGTCCCAGAGACCGGTGAAAAAGGGGTAGAGGTCGGCGAAAGGAAGGGGCCAAATGCTATTGGTGGGCGGGGCACGCACCGAAGTAGGCGGAGTTGCCACGAGATTTATTGTCCGGAAGCAGTCCGGAGACCGAGAAAAAGAGGATAATGGTTGACGAAGAAAAAGAGGTTGAAAGCCGTCGATGATGGAGCGGATAGAATTTAGCTGAGAATTCAGATATTCGTAGTGTATCAAGCCAAATTTGAAAATTTTCGTCGCACCATCAAAATTCGCCGCAGATCTGTGTTGCGCGCGCAATGCGTGCGGCGCCAACTGGTCGTTTAGAACGTCGTAATCGTCTATGGTTTCTCGACGACCCCGTTGAGCTCGTACCGCGAACCATGTTTCCGTGGGAAAATCTTCTGATGTCGTCGGTGTAGAAAGCCCCTGTAATTTTTTGATAGAATAGAATGTGCTCTTCAATACGCAATTGAGCTCATTCGGTTTGGTTTCTGGCAAAGTGTAATTAATTCTGCTTTGAATGTGAATGGAAGTGACTCTTTTTGCCCCCCCCCCTCTAGAGGGTCATGTGCCGAGCAAAAACAACTTTTTGTAGAATGAAACTTCTCAGATTCAAATCAACATTCGAGATCCTAGAAAGGACTGTAGGCTTCGAATGGCAATTTAGCATGAATTCGCGCCTGTCGGCTATCCCCTTACTGACGACTAGGCAAGGTCTGAAAGGTGGATTGTTTTTCCCTTACTCCGAGCACGCAATGAATATTCCATCATTCAAACTAAGGCGACGAATCGGATGAGACAAGGAAAATTGCCGCCCACACTGCATGACTTATAAAGCATGACAGATGAAATGATCGTTCATTCTGAAATCAGAGATTGTCCAGGCCCACAATAAAATTAGTCTTGGAAAAATCCCGAACGGAGCTTTGGACGTCTCACATCATTTTCGTTTACTTTTTAGATATCTCGAAAGTAAGGCTAGCGCGCAAAGTGAGAAAATTCCCAGGCATTTTCCTTATCTGAAACCTCGTGGCAAAGCTACGGGTTGGTACATCTCTTCCACTTTTTTAAAAGTGCTTCGAAGGGTCAGTGTTAGCATTTTTACCATAAACTGTACTTTAATTATTGAAGACGGGACTATGATGAGGAATACAGGACTATGTTCTTGACGATGACTCAGTTTGAGAGTGCGCCATGCATTCTGCTTTGCTCCACTCCCTTATTGACGAAAGCAGAAGGAGGATACCTTTTTTGCTGTTTTCCGTTTGAAGGGACGAAAACTATATCACTCCTTTGTTTCTTCTCACGCAAACAACACATTTCTAACTTCTACTAAGATAAGCTCCAATTCAATTATTGGGTAGCCGCTGGTTCCGGACTTCCAAACGGGACCAGCTTCCCTTGCTTTTTCTGTAATAATTGCATTGATTTCGCATGCTGGATTCACTGGCGCGTCTCATTTGGACGTATAAATAAATAAGTAAATAAATGAAATATAAACATAATCTTTCATTCATTTCATCCACTCATTTATTCATCCATGGCGCTATCGCAACATACGGGGCATTGGATGGCAGCCCACTCAAAACCGCGTAAAACGTGCCTTTTTTGTTTGAAACGGGACTAACCCTTAGGCGGGGGAGGAGGGGGTGAAGGAACTCTAAAATGCGTTAGCCACTTTCATTTTCCCTGGAGATCGTGACTTCTCCTAAGCTTAGTTCTGAAGGATGTCTCCGTATTCTGCCATAGCGCCCACTACGTTGGCCATTTTCATGTTCCCCAGAGATCGTGCCTCTGCTAGGCTCAGTCCTGGAGGATGTCCACGTATATTGCCATAGCGCCCACCGATTCATTTGTATCGCACAAAAATTCAGAAACGCAATACTAAAGGCCGGCTGAATCAATTGAACTTACTTATTTCGGTGCTAACTTAGTTGGGGGGGGGGCCACGCGGCGGCGCGGCAGTCTGCTCACCTGGGCTCTCTCGAGCGAGACAGTGTAAACTCGAACATTCCAGCTTTTCACGCATGTCAAGTGACTGCCCCACCCCCCACCCCCCTAGACTGCTACACTCCCCCTGGCCCACGGATTTCCGAACATGCCAGGCGAGCAGACTGCCGCGCCGCCGCGTGGCCCCCCCAACTAAGTTAGCACCCTATTTTCTTATATTCCCTTCACACTCGCCGCGTCCCCATCCGCACAAAAGAGCCGTCTGGTACCAGTCAACTGGATTTATATAGGAATGGAAGGCTCCCCGATGCCTAGATGGGCATTCCGATCCGCATGGTTCATGGTGGTTTGATAGCGATCGGCGTGCCATTTTCAGCGAACCTCGCAACAACTCGCAATGTTTTTCACCATTTCGAAAGTTTTAGTGAGAATAGACCGACATTTGAAAAATTAAAAGACAAGAGTTGTGAGGTAGTAAGTTCCATGAATTCACCTGAACATGAATTTTGAAGTTGATGTGGTTCCTCCAGTTTGGTTCTCCTTTGAGATCAAGGTAGGCCAGATAGTGAGGATTTTCGGTGAAAATGCTCTCAAACATCCGCCTGCCCAATTCGTAAACTGTGCCTAAATAGGTTCATAACTGTCGGCAACCTAACTGAACACTGTGCGAGAATAAGGAGAATACACAGAATGGATTCAGCTTGAAATATTTCATAACGTTCAAAAAATGTTGGGTTCCACGAAGAAACATTTTTCTCTGTTCTTCAGAAGTGGCCCTAGCGGGATAAAGTCCGTGTTTTGGTGACGTCTGCCGAAAACTCATGCGTCATGTTGGCATGTCTCTGATGAATGACATGCCCAGAGACCGAAAAAGTTGAGACGGATGAGCTTGGCAGTATCAAATTTTTGCCCTTACCAGATTCCATTCGATTCCATTTCCGCGTTAGCAACGCCTTTTGGTGCAACGTCAGGCCCGTCACGCTGCATACAACCTTCTTCCGCGAATTCCTGGAAAGAAATTAGATTTTCATGAGTTTACTGTAGCCTGAGTATCCATGTTCGACTTTCAGTAAATCTTGGCATGGTTCGTAGTACTTTTAGTCAGGTTTGTTGAAAGCGCAACCAAGACAGTAGTAACCTTTATCAGGCTTACGTTTCGGGCCTTGTCGCCTTCGTCAGAGCCTGGAAAGCCAAAGATCAGTGCGATTCATCCTCAAACACCATTTCAAACTTCAAGAACAGTCCCCTAGACCCAGTGGCTTTAGGAAGGCACCGTAAACACAAAACACTTGGACCCACCTTGAGGTGTTTGGGGATGAGTCGCACTTATCTTTGGCTTTCCAGGCTCTGACGAAGGCGACAAGGCCGAAACGTAAGCCGTATAAAGGTTACTACTGTCTTGGTTGCGGTTTCAACAAACCTGACAAAAATGTAACCTGAAAGCTTGACTCACCGACTTCGGCACGTCTTTGAGCGCCGTGGAGGTCGTTCGGTCATGCACCGACGGGGTCCGTTTTCTTTTGGTGCAGAGGGTACGCTGAAAACACCATTTTGAAAGCAGTTCCCCTAAGCCTAAAGTCTGATCAGATTAACGGGTGACCATGAAGAGGGGGGAGTTATGTGTCCAAGTAGAAACACTTTAGGAGGAGGCTCAATTGGGCCTTACACAACACTTGCGGCATCGTCCCCGCCGCCACCACGGTGACCGACTCTGGGAAGTGATGTCCATCTGTAGCCCCTCCCAACAGAATCTCATTTTCATAATCGCACACACCCATAATTACAACAATTCATGTACACGTCCCGGCAATTAGGCTTCCTATTTCGTAGAATTAGAGTATTGCATTTCCTCAATTTAGCCGATGAACAGCCTTCCATTTTTTCATGAAAAACATGTTTGGCATAGTCCAACAAGCCCTTGATGTATAGTTTGTGTGTGTATGTGTGAAAATGTTTCTGACTGGACCATACAAACCAAGTCTCCTCTTGTTCCATCGCTTTCACCAGATCCCTTAACTCGATCGTTGGATCAGAATAGCATTCGCGATCAGGCACACAATAACACTCACAATCTGAACAAAGCGAGTACCATAAACAGGAAGCATGAGCGTAAGGCAAACCAGCCATTTTTAGACGTTTCTGCTGCCGGATTGCTGAATGTTTGGGGAAGAAGATGGGGTTCCCGACGGCCGATGGACCACTTTCAAGTCACGTCTCCTAAAACCGCACTCAATCACAGGTGATTACCTCACCCCCTGAACTAGCCTTTAAGAGAGGAAGGACCAGTGCAGGTCCAATCCTGCTCTCAAGGCTTAAGTCCTGGGGTAGTGAAACAGTCCTTTGGCTGAAATGTTGGCGGGACCAGCTTTGCTCGTCACTATCACCGTTAACCGCCCGAGTTCAAGTAGTCCGTCGCCCTCGGAGACCCCATCCTCTCCCCAACATTCAGATACGGCCAAAGCATAAAAGCCAAAAGGGCTGGTTTGCTTACCTCGGGAGCGCATCAGGGAACTATATGCGCCCACGAAGCACTAGCACGGCAGAAAGGGAAGTCAGGTATGGCGCTTTCACGATAAAATGGGCATGATGTTGCTGGAGCGGCCAATATTTTTGAAAAAGCGATCCGCCCATAAGCGATCCACCCTCCTGGTGATTTGAACGAGGTGGTTCGCCGGCAAGCGGCAGAAGAAGGAGCAACTTCGACTGCTTTTTTCTTTTTACAGCATAAGATTTGAATGGTGCCACTATACCGCGATTCATGTAACTATTTTAAAAAGGCAACGTATCTCCCCGAAAGTAAAAAGTCCGTTTATTTCTGGCTCATCGCTGACCCGAGGCCCCATTTATAAAGAAGAACGCTCCCATCGAGTGACCTTTCTTGCTCAAAATGGAATCACATCTCGAGGGACCCCAGTTATAAATGACCTGTAGTTCGATTAGAAGCTACGAGATGTTCGCTACTCTGATGTAGACTTGGCGCCCTACAGATCGATAAGGAGAGCAAATTTTTTAGCTATCAAAAGATAAATGATCCAGAAGCACTACTCACCGTGCAACTCCTGGTTCACGTACTGGTGATTGCGAATGGGCCCGATGTTTTGCTGTCAATGAGTCAGTGGATTCTGCATTGCCCATTTTGTGTGCTTCCTGTACTATAGTTAATTCAGGTCCAGTCAGACCTAAATTTCGAAACATTCTGCTCACAAATAGACATAACGTACTCTCACAGACATACCGTAATCCGCTGAGTTAGCCTATGTACCACAAAAAGACGATGGAAGTATTGAAAGACTCATTTATACAAAACGAAATAGAGACTTAAGGGCAAGGACCAGGATCAAATCGAGGTAATGATCTCACTTGTATATGAATTCAGCGATGTGAAGCGAGTTGGAAGTGGAGAAAAAGGAGAAGTCGTAAAAAAAAAAAAAACACGGCCTCCTTGCTCGAAAGTGTGGAAGAGTATAAGAGGCAGACAACGATATAAGAGAAAATGTGAGACGCGGATAGGAAAAAGAGCTCAGAGTCGAGAGAGCATAGCAGTTTAACAAGACGACAAGGTATCGAAGCGGTTGACCGGCACTGATTCTTCTAGGCGTGGGAGGATTCAAAGCGCGAGTAGTACCGAGCGTCAAGAGTAATAGTGGCCAGATTCAGATGCGCGAAAAAGCGGCTATGGAGCAGTGGTCAACCAAATGAGAGTCCGGTGACTAAGCCTTTTGAAGGCAGGAAAGAAAGCAGAGATGCTGTAATAGTGTGCATATGCGAGAGTCCCAGAGAACACTACAAAACGCTGAATCACCAAGCCTTCCGGTTGACCGCTGCCCTTAAACAGTGGGCGAATCCTGATGGCTTTGGTGGATTTGATCCAAGTCCCTACCGTACCCAGTATCCCAGAGATGCGGTTCGATGCAAAAGTGGCCCAACCACTGCAGTGGCAGTCCTAGCACCTCTTAACCACGACAACAACTTTTTCAGTGACGCTCAGCCGGACCATGCCCAGAGAAAGAGGATATTGAATTCACCGATACTCCTGGCCTAGACATCTGCGAGACAATAATGTTTCCAAAGTGCGACGGAGAGTTGGGAACGGGATATTCTTGTTCCCACGTTGCGAATCCAAACCCAGCTTCCCCACAATGATTTTCGCCACGCCCTAATTCAACAAAGACGTGGGCGCTAGAGCGTTTTTTTGCACAGAGACGTTGGATATCACGACGACACAGCTAACCCATGCGCTTCTACACCTAACGACAACGACCTTAAAGCCAGGAGTCGGGATTAGGTACCAAGGACCATTCCTTCTGGAGTGGGAAAGAGACTTTTAAAAAGGGTGGTAGGTACGACCAGCAGTCGCGAGGCTAAGTGCTCGGGCTTGCCTTGTGCTGCCGTGCTGCCAGCGTCAACCACGGCATACGTGGTCTCTGCGTCCTCTCGCGTACGACGTACTATCTCGCGTTCTCCCTCTCCTCGCAGCGCTGTGTCTCTCCGTCGTACTACGGCCGGCCTCCTAAGGGAAATTTAGTGTTTTCTATGGTGCTTTTTGCTTTTTCTCCTCACTAGTGTTCCTCATGGCAAATTGTCAAACAAAAGAACACACCGATTCAATCCCGGTTCGTGCCTTTAAGTGATAATTCAAGACATTAGATACTGCCGCGATGCCTTGAAGGTAGTGAACACGGTGGCTGGAAGCGAAACGGTTTTCATGATGTCAGCCTCATTGTGGAAGGGCCTGGAGGTCTCGAGCCATTCGCCTGGCGCACCGGTGGGTCTGGTCCACCAATGGTGTCCAAGGACGTCACCAAAATCGCCTCGCCCGCCAGCCATGTTCACTGCCTTCATGGTAAATAAACACTCATAGAATAAATAGCACACAAGCTCGAAGTACCGAGAGATGTTTGGGAAAAATAAGGCACCAATCTCTTTTGGGAGTAGCCATACATTCAACACCCATTTGGGATCGTAGTGGCATCGAATGCGTTTGCCTTTACAACGAATATCGGCGCCAGTCGATATTTACAAGACAGTCTCCTTATGCTCTTGGGCAACTCTTGGATCGAGCAAGTGTGTACGTAGGGGCTGCTCAATCTGAGCGGATCCCTTGTTGCCCCTCGAACAGTGCGCGTTTTATGAAGCCTTTTCTTTTCCCATTATCCCCCTTAGCAGCGACAAATGCATAAGCGATAAATTAACGAGGAAAAATTTAAACGGAGAAGAAAAGGCAGTGATGGAGGGAATTGGATGAATATGAAGATCATCGAAGATTTAGAAAATAATAAATGATTGATGTTGCGTTTCACTACGATAGCAATGAACTTCATGTAGAATTTTATGTGGGTAAAATTTTGTGAAAAAATGAACTTCATGTAGAATTTTGTGTGGGTAAAATTTTGTGAAGAAAAGCGTTTATCTAATCTGGTTTTCGGCTACAGAGCTCCTCGGATAACGCTGAGTAATAGAGACAATCTGTTCAGCGTTGGGATGAAAGCAGAGCATGACGTGAGTGTCTTAACCGCGCCCTTCGCCTGTCTCGTCGTCGCCCACACACGCCTTCCCGCTGCGCTCGCAATTTTCTTATTTACGTCTTGTTGTTGCTAATTTGCTGATCGGCTTGCAAGTACGTGCCCATGGCGAGAATGTGCTCACAAAGAACGGCAAAAAATTCGGAACCCAACGAGATTTCGCGGAACCGACGACAGCAAATCCACAATTCAGAAGCTGAAGATCAACACATTTTTCCACGCTACGCCGAAATGTGGCCATTCATAAGCCTCGTCCGAAGAGGAGAGATGAGGCTCGAGTAGAAAAGAAATATCCATTATCCGGGTCTTCCCAGAGAGTCCAAAAATTATACAGCCCTCCCCCAATAAAAAAAAGACATTTTGTCTCCACTTTCAGATGGATTTAAGCACACTTTGCTCAATTGAGACCGAATGTTCCCAACTTATTATTGAAGAGCGCATTTCATTCTATAAGAAAATCTTCATGTTGGCCACCCACGTGGACGGCAACAGAAGAATTTGCCCTGGAAACATGGTGCACTGGTCGAGCTCAATGGGGTCTTCGAAGGATTCTGTACCATAACGACCTTTACTGGAAAGCTCGTTTCGAGGGATTTGTATAGTGGGAGCTAACGCCTCTAGAAAGTATCCAACATTAAATCGATTCACGAAATTTGGGGAAGAGCTTCAGGCTGAAGCACTTACGGTAGACCTCCTTGAGCCTGACGACTGACGACGGTGACAGATGACGTCATATTCTGAAGACGGTGAGGGCAGTGAAGGAGGGCCTGCGTTCACTTATAGAGGGACACTTAGGGAATACTCTGCTGAGGAACTCCCGTCAACGACAGCAATCTCTGCGAAGAAAAAAGAGCCGAAGTCCGACATAGGCAAAATGTCTTTTTTTTGGCCCCCCCCCTGTATATCGCGCTTCCAGACTTCTATTATATAGCAGGGTCTTTCAGTGAAGGCAATCGAGAATGTCATCGACGTTCCTGTCCCTTTGATGAAGAGCGAACGCGCTGATTGCTCCTTCACAATTGAGACATAAACGAAGTTGTACCCGGAAAGGGAGGGGGCTATAGATGCAGCATGTTCGCAGTAGGACCCTCGGGTGTTGAAGATCCATCAGGGTACTTGAGTTGAAAAATTATCATTCAACGAAATTAGCACTAAAAAGACAAACTGGGGCTGGTCGAAGACTTTCTTAAGGTCAAATAAGCTCGTGGCGAGTAAATTCCTGGCTAATTAAAGAAAGGAGCGGGTGTAATATCTCTCTCGTAAACGTAACTGCTGGGGTTAACAGAAGTGAAAAACACACCCAGCTGAGTGAGTCGAGCGAGTTGTGAGCGAGCGAGGTGTGATAAGTTAGGCAGGATTGCAGCAGGAGGCCAAGAGTGTTCCCTTTGAAAGCCTTAGAACGTTGGGGGCCGTGGTGCTGCACGTGCCGACGCAGGCTGGAGGGAAATTGTTGACACGACCATGTGCTTGTCTCTTGGGATTTTGCATTGTGTGAACTTTGAAAACAGCGTGCTTCGAGTTAACTTTCAACGGAGAGGTTACAATGAGGTCCACAAGCTGTTACTAGTATTATCGACTTTCAAATTAAGGTACAGTGGAAAGGTTTTTGCTCCGCGTTGGGGTGACGATGGCTAGTGTCATCAAAATCACTACTTTCAGAGGGAGCGAAAGTAATATCTAGAGAAAGGAGTCGCAAGAGAGAATGAGAGAATGAATGATAAAGCCTGGTCGTAATTAAATCCCCCAAAAATGACATAGGTCTTATGTAACAGACTTCTCAATGAAGAGCAGAGAAATCTAAGGTCGAAAGTGCAGATTTGATGCTACGAAATTCGCAAACAATGGGCCTGAACAATGAAACAACCACCGATGGCTACAGTGGCTGACTGACCAAGTGTTCAAAATATCAAAATGCTGACGGATTTTCAACAAAATTTGTACTTACTAAGTATCATTTACTATCACTGGATATCTTTGACCAGATTGAGTGAACCGTCCATATAAGGTGTTTTGGAACAAAGTGCTATGAGGGAACGAGCGATGTCTAAATTGTTCGTGAAATCTAGACAGGGTGAACCAGGGTCAACCGTCACGTTGGACCAATTTCGAAAATTTTACGACCCCCTTCCCCCTTCTAGAGGGCCTCGATACGACCCCCCCCCTCCATCGCCATCATGGGGGCGATTCTATAGTATTTGATTCTGAGACCAGTCGACACAGCCCAACTCCAAAATTGCCGTGAGCGGAGGGGGGGGGGGGTATCGAATGTGAAACGGCAAAATTTTCGCAATCCCAGCCAACAACCTAATCCGCTCTCCGTTCCATGAAAAATCATCCCTTCCCTTACTGTAACATTGACGCTACCTCGCGAAATACGACCCCCTCTTTTCCACCCCCAAATACGACCCCCACCCCCTCGTTGGACTTTGTCCAACGGACGGTTGACCCTGGGGTGAACCACAATGAAGACAGACGACATTCCGGTAGGTCATCCACGGTACAGGAGGACTAAACAAAGCAGAATCATAGGTTATCATTTGATCAAGAGCAGGACGATTCGGATCGTCATCATAACTATTTATTCATGATCAACATTGGCCACACGATGAGCTT